ACACCACAGCTCCCTTGGGAGAGTGACGGGTCACTCTCATGTAACCCCGTTACAAAGTTCGTATTTAGAAAAAATAGTCTGACACCAGACAATGTTATAAGCTGACATAATTTTTTTTTTCACAGGAGGACTTAAAAGAACCCCCGGTACCAAGACTAGTGTTTGCGTCGCATGTCGCCTGGCTATCGCGTCTACATTCGGCATCTTTAATGCGTCCGCGTGCTGTCTCTTGTTTTCAACAGTCGTGCGTCGTACAATTATGTATAACTCTTTTGATTCTATTAGAGCTCTCCATGGGTTCACAAAGCCAGAACATAAATCTTTGTTATCCAACAACTCTGAGATGTGGTCCTGTGGCCCTCACTTACCTCAAGGTGAGTAGATTCCCTAAGGAATGGTTTCCGGTGCGTTCGAACACCACAAGATGCAGCTGTCCGCCAGCAGGCGTTCTGTACCTTCTGGGACTCGAGGACTCGCAAGGGATACATCAAACGATGCTGCTTGGCCCCTCATTACTCTTGATAAACGAAAATGGGGGGTGCAGTGCGTGGGCGTTTTGTACTTCACCTGCAGCGAGGCTGCCGTAGCTCTTTCGCTTAGATGAAGCTAAGTTGAGGTCAGTGATGTTCGTTCTATACTTGAACCAAGTAAGAGTGTAGCGGACCGTAATCTACTTACTCTAAGAGTAAATACAACGTTAACCCAAGGCTAATTAAGTCTTACGTTTAGCACCTAAACTGTATTTCTCAGTGATATTTGCGGCAAAGCTGCCTAAATCTAAATCCCCATTTATTTAGTAAAATCTAATTAAATGTATAACTACTGGTTGTTCCAGTCACGTACTGACTTGTTGTTTGAGTGGATCCACATTATTGTGTGGCCACACCATCTTGTGGAAACACATCACTGTGTGATCACTCCATATTGTGTGACCCACAACCTTCATACCAGAGCACGTGAAACCCCGTTACACTCTCCCTCATCAAGATTGTGAACACTTTCAGCTCACATTCAACTATTGCCTCGAACGAGGGTGGCGTTCCTAAACACCACAACATCACCAGGACCTTTCTCACAAAATTCTCTGTTGAATGAGCCCTGAGTCATTGACACGGAAAACACCCAGCCTCGCTGGTTATGAAAACGCCCACGGAAAGAGCCCTCATTCGCTCCTGCACGCGGTGCAACTTTGGACAGCACGTCCGTGACTTCAAGAAAAGCGCAGACCAAGCTTTCAGTAACTGAGAACCGCACAGCGCATTGTCGGCGACAGGGTCTATCAACCAAGAGCACAGACGTGATTTCTACTCCCGACCACGCACCTCACCCGCCACGGGCGATGGATTACCTCGTCGAAGACTTGGAGGAATTCTACTACGAGCTGAAAATTTCTCTCGCAGGATGAGAAGAAGAAGAGGGCTAGGTGCCCCAGCGGCGCAACGTGAGCCCTGTTCAAACCTTGCGGACGCTGTGGCCGATTTCCGAACGTGTCGTTACAATAACCTCGACGAGGTACAGTAGAAACAGCTGGATGCAGTCCCCACGCGGCTCCAATGCGCGTGCTTCCACGGTCGGTCCTTGACCCTCGTGAGGAATACGTCTTCCGCTTGGCGGATCCCGCTATCGAATCGAAGGACTCTATCACTCGATCGTTGGGCGGATACCTGATCGGGCCCCTGGCCACTACATTAGATGAGATTGACGATCAAAATGCTCTCCGAGCTCGCTTCTTGGTTCCTCAAGTAATCCCGGTAGATACGTACCGCACTCGACTTCGTGCTCAAAAAGGAGGCGCTCCTGTACCCATGATGCGGACGGTTCCTGTGCTGCTCGCCCCTGGTAAAACCGCTGCAGATGACGAAGAGCACTTTGAGCGATGGGTGCGACGGCAGCGCAAACCATAATCGCTGTACAATATCTAGTTGATCCGCAAGGAGATGGACGCGCGCGTGGAGCGCCATCTTTGGTTTAAGTCTGCCAAAGTTAAGGCGCGTCGTTGACTTCCTTCTTATTGTCGCTCTGCGACGTTTTAGTCCATCCACCACACTCCCGTGAGCTCTGTGGTCTCTCACACGGGTGAGTCTGCGACCACAGCAGGTCAGGGCTATAGCTTGAGCTCATAGCATGGTCCTTCGGCTTCTTTGGCTATTGTTCAGAAGTGCGGGGCGCGGAACGGCATGCTCCCTATGATCATAAGCGTCTACGACGTCTGGGCAGTCTTGTCGAAATGGCCCTTCAAACCCTCTACGAATTCTCGAAGTCGGGGTATCCTGCCACTTCACAAGATGCTGGGCTCGACCCTGGCGACGACGTCGACTTACAAGGCGTTCGACGTGATAGTGGACACCACCATTCTTGTCGGGAAGAGTCGGCGGCGGACGATGACGACTGGGTCGATCGCCGTCCAGTGACTCGCGATGCTAGTCGAGCTCTTGAGGACGAGGTCTGTCGCGATTAAAACACCCGCTGAGCATCTTGCTGAAGTCACATACCGCTTTGCGAAAGACCTAGAGAGCTTGGGGCACTTTGTGCACAGACTGCCTTACGTTGAGTACTAACGCGCTCTATCAATGCGGCTCCTAGCCGTTGAGCGAAGAATCTCTCGCTTCATGCGAAGGTGGAGCGCATGCCACCGTTGGAGATGGAGTTCGTTGTACTCCCTGCTCATAATCGGTTGCTGTTTCAGCTTTTGGGTGGTCGAGCGCCTGTCGCCGCCCCGCATCAGCACTTCCGCATTCACTTGCGCCGTATTCCGGTACGGATTAAGCAAGCCCAAATGAATCACCGGGTGGTGCGCATCCGTTTTGAAAGGTTTAGCGTATTTGCAATGTCCGATTGGCCACAAACTTGATAGGTCCGATAAACCGTGGACAGAGCTTCATCTTATAGACAGCAGAAATTGCATGGGTAGGAAGTGTTTAGCACTTTATAAAATTAGGTCTTCGACCTCAAAGTTTTTACGTTTTCTCTACCTATTCAGGCTGCATATTCCTTTTACATGTCCTAGCTTTCAGCCATCGCACCGCGAACTTGTCGAAGATTTTACAGTCTGGTCATCGACTTCTTTACGAACAGTGAGAGGGCTGACATCAGCTAGCCGCTCAGGTATTCCTCCTGCGCCAAGTCCTGAGCCTTGGGATGGCGGCGTCAGCGGGACGCGAAGATGGACGAGCCCATTAACGTAAAACGGCGTGTGGCCGGTAGACGAATGCTCTGCATTGTTCAAAGCGAACTCCGAAGGAGCCGGCGGGCAACTCGTCTTTGTGAACCTTTTGAGCAAGATGGTTCATCTTGCGGCAGTACGGTATAGCGGCACTGTTTTTGGATCGTGTCTTTCGACAACATAAACTCCTGGAGTCAATTGCCCCTGACAGAGACCCACGCTTCAAGAAGTTTTGGACGACAATTTTCAAAGTGCTGGGCACCAAGTTGACTATGTCAACAGCGAGCCATTCGCAGACAGATGGTCAAATTGAGCGCGTGAATCGCGTCGTTGAAGACGTCTTTGCAGCGTCTGCGTTGAGACGCCGAAGCGCTGGCGCAGAGACGAGCAACACGCCGTGAAACGTGTTAACCAATTTAAGTCTTCCTTAGTAAGTGCGTGTATACGGACGGGCACTTCCCGTTATACAAGCCTATCTAAATGGTGCATGAGCCTGGAGCAACTTTAAATAATTCCATGTCGATTCGGGCAAAAAATAACCAATCTAAACGGCTTTTGGCCAATCGTGCTATTTTTAGCACCAATTTTCTGCCGATTATTAGTATGTTTTATTATTTGCGACAGTTGAACAGTTGCATGATGCTGCCAGCATTTTTAATGCCACACAAGAAAAATATCTTTGACGCCATGGTAGAATCGACTTGCTTTCGTGCATGTATACGCTGATAGATTACTGCGGCGTTAATCTTAGAACTAAATGACAAAACCTTCACGACGTTCCATGACCAAGCGGGTTTTTAGTATCTGGTCACTCCGATGGGATTGAGTGGACGTCTTGGCGCTTTAATGCGCCTTCTCCGATGCACTTTTAGCGGCATGATGGTGATATCAACATCTTCACGAGAGGCAAGGACATTGATGATCGTCTCAAAGCCAGAACCGGGTACTCTTGTGATGTGATTATCAATAACTTTCTGTATATCGAGCTGTCGAGGTTCCGTTTGATGTCCTGGAGATTCCCTGTCTCGACAACTTTTTTGAAATAGTGGTTGTAGAGATCCAAACACGTTCAAGATCCAGATGCAAAGTTCTCTTGGTAGTTTGCTTGGGTAGCCTTTTATATGGGCATTACAAAACATGGCATCTGCTTAATAATCTAAGCTATTCCAAACAGTTTCATCTATGCGAACCATCCGATTGAACTGTAAAAGTGTAGACTCGCGAAATTGTACTCAACTCCGATGATAATGATCACAGCGCACTGCTCAACGGTCGGGTTGCTCTGCAAAATCTCTTGGGTTGGCACTGTATAGACGGCTGTTGAGCCCATTAATACTGCAGACTGTGAGAGTAAGAGCGTCCTCGATAAAAGCTGTGCGACATACTCTTTGCAGCCAACACACTTGTCTACGCTCAAAAAAATGATAAAGAGGTTATAACTGTGACAACGAAATTGCCAGAGGTAGCTTTGACTGTCAGAATTCGTATTTAAAAAAAACATAGGTTGGAATTGTCCGCATCAACCAAGGACTGAAACCCATAGCCTCATAGATTACAACAGTGTCAGTTTGCTATGTCATCCCAAGGGTACATATATACAGGATGCATTTTGCTTGGACTAGCACGTTTTAGGTGCGAACGTGTACTCTTTCACTGCATCTTTATGATACCGACTTTCCGGTAATTATGGGAAATCACGAAACGTGAATTTTGTACGATTGTACGTGTGATACAACTGTATCATATGTAAAAGGATTAAATACACAATATCACAGCCGTTATTCAATACGATATACAGCTTGACATCGCCAAAGCTTGAACCACAGTCTGGACATCACTCGTCATCTCAGTCGTTTATTCTGTCTTGACATCGGTCGTCGTGTCAGTCTCCGTGATTATCTCCGCGATTGCCTTTGTTGTTCGGCAACTATCTATATATTCAACCATAAAAATGTTCACCTCCGTCATCTCCGTGGACACCGCATTGCGATCCTTTTGAATCTCAAGTTTCTCGCCCCCCAAGATCTTTTAAGCACGTTTTATTTTAGGGTAAACTCAGGCGTATCCAAATGTAAATGATGTAGTTTGAACATGGGGAGTATTTATATGATGAGTTACGTCCCCCCCTTTTTAGGGGTCGTGTAAGCCATGTCAAGCACGTGCTGTAGGGTTTTTTATTACACTTTAACCCGACTCTACCCGGCCCCGGGGATCGAACCCGGGACCTCGTCCTGAAGTGAGCGGCGAACCACTGCACCACAGGATCGGTAATGGGGAGTATTTATAACAGAATTTAAGCGTAAATTGTCAATTATTGACAGAAAAGTGTTTCGCGGTAGTTAAGGCATGAGACTTTATTGCAGTCATCAACTTCAATAGCCTGATTTTACATCATAATCATTTCAATTATGCATGTACATTCGCCTTAGTTGATTGTTAAATCACGCTTAATTTTAAGCTCGTGTGAAAGAGAAAGTCTGATCCAGAGATTACATGGATAAAAAACATCATTCAGATTGAAAGGCAATGACGATCAAAATTTAGACTTCGTTTCACTCTTCGAATTGTTTCAAGGCCAAGAGCCCTCCACCCTAATCAGTTCATCATGCTTACGCTCGCACTATCACGTTCAACAAATAAGTTAAAGCTGAAAGGGCCGTCTCCACCACCTAACTCTCCGCTTTTTGCGAATTCGGTTGACACAGATAGTGAAGTAGACGACGACGGCGACAATGATAAAATTGATTTCAGCCGTTTGCGAGCTGAGCTGGATCGTCTTTTGGATGAAGGATGTAAGCCAGAAGACGAAGCGTTTAATGAAGTTCACGTCTACAAGGCTATCGATTTATGCCACCCAGCCAAACAAAGTGGTATGAGGATTGAGATCCAAAGTGCTGAGCGACTTAGTCGGTCGGTGTAATCCGAGCTGACAGAGGACTAAGTTTTTTATGTCTCATATACTGCTTTCTATCTCGACGAAAAAGATATTCCATTTTTCGGTTTAATTGTTTACCCGAAGAAAAAACAAGTTAACAACATTTCATTTGCTTGTTGATTCTCGATCTAGCCTAAGAGATTACTTACATCTGCGTCTCCCCAATCATCCACTTCTACACAGAGTACAGAATACAGATCAGACAAATGAAGGCATTTGACATTTTTTGACGAACCTTCGTGTTTGCTTGGTTGCTTTTGATGTTGCGATGTTCTTGCCAAAGTGGGAGCTAAAAATCTATTTGCTGACGGTGCAACGTACTCGCTTCGGCTATTGTTGTCACTGTCACGAGCTCGAGACTCAGACGTACTGACTCTATTACTATAGTTTGAAGACGAAGGTTCTTGCAGCTGAGACAACTGTTCCTGTGGCGCTCTATAATATGGTACTGATACTCGTGGTTCCTCGTCACTATCAACATTGATATCTCGTGAGGAATGATCAATGCCTATCGGTGGAGCTTGATGCGGTGGTGGTATGCTTAAAGCATTCTCACGTTCGAGCTTCGCCAATTTTGCCTGAAATGAGTCACACCGTTGCCCAAGGTCCTTGCAAATAGCAACTAGATACCTCAAACACTCAAGATTCTCAGGGTAGTCGTGATGAATTTGTTCATAGAGAACCATGGCTTTTTGGTAGGAACCCATTCGTCGATAGCAACTTGTGACCATAAGCCGCCACTTAACTTCGTTGGGTTGAATTTGGCTTGCTTGCTCAAAGAACTGGATGGCCTTTTCGTATAACTCGCTCTTAACGTACCAAACTCCCAGCCATGAAATAACATCTAAATTAACGGGAAAATGTCTGTAGGACTCAAGATGGTAATGAAAAGCCTGTGTCTCGTCGTCATCCTTGTTAAAGATTTGGCCCAGACGAGCTAACACACCGGGATCTGCAACATTCTTAGTGTGTCGTTCACGTTTATCATTGCTACCGAGGCATGACAGAAGGATATTAAACCATTTTGCTGCTTGTCTGTAGTTGCCTAAGGTGTCGTGAAGGCTCGCGATCTGGTAAAGAACTTCAGGATTTGACGGAACAATGCTGTGAAGTTTTTCAAAAGCTTGGAGTCCCTCGTTTATTACACCCATCTTAATATTGACGAGGCCTAGATTGTAAATTGCTTCAACGCAGTCTGCTTCAACACCAATAGCCTCAAGAAATAGCTCTTTTGCTCGTTCACACTCATTTTTCACATAGAGGCAATTACCTTTGTTTACCAGAGCTTTAGCATTGTAGCGCTGATGTCGCACCGCCATTGATGCGTATTTGTCTGCTTGTGTCGTGTCACCTTCAACAAAATAAAGATAACTGAGGTTTGTCGCTGCCATGGCTCTGTGTGCTGGGTCCTTCTTTTCAAAAGCTTTGAGCACTTCAATTGCCCCATTAAATTCTTTTTCCTTCAAATACCGATGCGCCTTGCAGATCTCCATTTCACTCGCCAGACTTTCATGGTTTTCCTGCTTTAATACGTCAATCACCCACGTAAAACCTGCCAACCAATCTTTCTTGTCCAACGCGGGCGCACACAATTTCGCAGCCACTAACATGTAATCCATGGCTTTCTTTCTCCTCACTCGAATCTCAGCTTTCAGTCCGTCTGTTTTTAACAAGTGAAGATGTTCCTTTGACGATGTATGACGCTCGTCATCATGCTTCGATTCATTAAAAAGTCCGGTTTCGTCATCGTCTCCGTCCGTCATTCCTTCCATTGGAATGGTGATAAGATTTGTAAATCCTCGTCGCATCTTTTCATGCTCACCAATGGCATAGTAACAAATAAGGAGATTAAAACCAGACTGAAAGTCGGCGTTTCCTTCCATAATATCCTCAAATGTCGCTGCTGCATCCTGATAATGACCCAGTTTTATCTGCGCCGCACCAATATTTCGCTTGATCTTATATCGCACTTCTTTGCTCGTATTGGGAATTTGATCAAGCGCCATGCGATACATGCGAATGGCTGTAGGATACTGTTGTTGTTCAAAGTAGATATTGCCCATATTAACACGCAACCGACCGCCTTGTGCGTACTGTTTGTTTTTTACGATCGGCGTGTATGACTGTATTGCCTCTTTCCAAAGTCCATTTAAATGATATGCATTCGCGAGGTTAAAAAAGACGGCATAAGTCAGATCGATGTTCACCATGTCCGCCAATCCACTTTGCTCACAGTGCTTGTTAAACGCTCTCTCCTTACGTCCAGCATCTTTAGCTAAATGCAGCGCTTCTTCGAACTGTTCCTTAGAAATAAGTACGGCTGATTGTTCTATAAGCGAATCTACTGTCCTTTCGAGTTCCTTGGCGACTTCCTTCGGTGAATTTTCAGTCTTTTCGATCAAAGCAGGTGCTGCTTCCGCTTTTCGAGCTTCTCCCATCGGATCAAACGATCTCTGACCACCTGCAGTGCGTGGATTTGACTAGGATAAGCGTACACCAGCAGCTGTCAGTGCTAGAAATCTTACACGTATGCAAAAGCCACTTTACCGAGAAACCAGCTCCAGCCACAGAGGTCATGGGTCGAGCATCGCCTGATTGCTGAGCTGTACCCATTCTCGAGCCAGGAATCGGTCGACCCATTTGAGATGATGGTGCTCTTTCGAGCAGAGACTATTAGATTTTTTTCCGAATATGATTCGACCAAGAAAGATTTATACCTGAAGGCTGTTCCGGGGAGGTTATAACCTGCATAGGACGACGACATGAAGCTGGTTGTGGACGCCGTCTGCGGTGGGGCAAGATCAATGCTGAAATTAAAACCTTCATATAAATCTTCGTCCTCGTCGTCATCAATGATATGACCATGTTGAAATTCTCGGTAGGCACCCCTATAACCTGCCATCCGATGTTAGAAATCACAAGATAACCCTGCTAGCCTTCAAATTAGCACTGCAAACGATATCTCCGTTGTGACGAGTCGCCAGCGAAACGACAGACATTACTGGAAAAAGAATGAGCTAGACACTTAAACGTACAGCAATTTTTATTAACAAAAGTTCTAGTCAAATTCTAAAAGACTTAAATCAAGATTGCTCCTAGAAAAGAGGTCAAGAATATTGACGTACTCAACAAACTTGAAATTGCACCCGCAAAAGGAATTAAATATGAACAGTCTTCGCCCATAAACGGAAAGTACTCGAGTGTCTTGTTGTATGGTTCATATACCATAGCACAGTAGCAACTTCCGTTGATGCACTCCCCTTTTGGATACGAACAGTTGTTAAGACACATTTCTATCATTGATCAATGTGAGTGTAATTTCAAGGAGAGCTTAAACGAAAAAATTCCATGCACGTACGTGTGTCACAGTATTTGCCGTACCAGCCCTCATCGCACATGCATCTAGAGTTTGGAAATTCGACTGAGCAGTATCCATGTCCGGAGCAATTATTAGCGCAATTTCGAATTGAGCAGTCATCTCCGATGAATGGCGGCTTACAAATGCACATTCCAAATCCATCGCAAATCCCATTGGAGTAATGCACATTGTGAGCCAAGCAGGGGTATTTTTGCACGTTTTCAACGTATGAGTCGTTGCTCGTATGCTCATAGCCCGAAAAACAACAATGAGTGCAGATTTGAGTTTGATGCGTGTCGACGTAAGTACAAAATGATCCGGGACAGGAAAAGTTGGAGCAGTCTTCACCATAGTAGCCGTCATTACACCGGCAATTCCCAGATAGACAAGTGCCGTGTAACGAGCAGTTTTTAATGCAATTATTAAGATCGTACTGCCATAAGTCTCCTACTGAAGTAGCAGCAAATGTAACTGCGTCGTGGTATGTCTCTTCGCGCTCATAGCCATACCCGCCAAAGACAAATATCTTTTGATCCTTCTCGTAGTAAACACTCTTATGTCCAGAGCGTTGGGATGGATGTTCGTATTGAAGAAGTGCAGGTAAATCTTCTCGTCCGTCAATACGGTTTCGACACCCATCCCATCCTGGTGCTTGACGTCGTGCTTGCTGGATGAAAACGCTATTCTGGTCAGAGCCGCGAGTTGGCTCTGCAAATACTGAAAACTACAGTAGACAGTGATAATAGACAATTCTTGATAGTGTCGAATATTGCGTACCGTCTTCGTGCCGTAATGATTTTCAGCGACGAACAAGTAATCGTTCAGATTATCTGCTTGCAGTGTAGAGAAGACATAGGCGGCGTAACCACCGCTGTGCGGAAGACGGCGATCTTGCAAGTCATCCATGCAGGATGCAGGATAAATAGGGTGCACGAACGTGTGTTGCTCGACCCAATGGTTTGCGCCTGAAACAGCGATAAAAAACAAGTGAGTTTCACAAGATCTAGCTGCCGTTAACGATGATACGTACTAGCATTGTATTGCCATGTATCGTCAAAATAGTAATTGGTCATGTAGCCGCCAAATAGAAGAAATACATCGTTTGCAACTACGAGGCTATGATCCACTCTGGCTGCTGGTAAAGCTTCTCCGTTTGCTATAACTTCAGTCCAGATTCCTGTCGTTATATTAAACTTCCACATGTCACTCAAGTAGTACGGATGTGTTGGATATGGCGTAAAGCCAACCGCATTACCAACGCGTGTGCCACGTCCTGCACCCGCACTCGTTGTCGTAGGATATGGGAAAAACGTACGATACCCACCGTGAATAATAATGGCATTGTCATAGATCGCTGATGTATGACCAGCACGACCAGGGGGCCACGTCACTTCGCACTCTATATCAATGTCATTAAATATTCCATCGGTAAACACGCTCGACTCTATACTGCACTCGACTTTTTCAGTAATATTCATCCAAGTATTCTTGATCGGATCGTATACCCAAAGGTCGTTTAGGTAACCACCTCTCGGGTACTGATTTGATCCACTCCAGTCATTCTCCTCGCTATTTTCATGTGCGAATCCATGCCAAAGACGAAATCCGCCGAACACATACAGCTTGTCGTTCAAGACAACACTGGAATGCTTATATCTTTTTCCTGGACCTGGTCGACTACTATCTAGCTCAATCATTTCAGTCCATGATCCCTGTTTGAAATCATACAGCCATAAATCGCTGCAGTAGTCAGCGCACATAGGGCCGAAGCCCCCGTAAATCACCATTGTATTGTCACTAATAACCTCTGCACTGTGCATCCATCGCTCTGATGGATGGGTACAGACCGATGTACTCTTATTCATTTTGCACCCACCCCACTCGGCTCCCGAATTTAAGACCTTCCAGCCACTATCTACGCATCCATTGTCGGCATACCTGGTACAATCTGTCAGCACGAAAGCATGGATAAGTGAGATGTAGCACAACGGTGCGCAAACGATCCTTACTTAAATCGTAGCTCCAGATGTCGTTAAAAAAAACAGCCACAGAAACCTCTGTCGCTTCCGTTTCATACGCAATTTTATCTTCATAGGATAAAAATTCCAACGATCCATTAATACGAGTTACTTCGTACGTCTTCGGTAAATGTGATTTCGTGGTATCTTCTGCACGTCCCCCAAAAACTATTAATTGATTCGCGAATGTTACAAATGAATGTCCTCGTCTCGCTGTGGGGCTTGAATCATTGGTATTCCAAGTCCATTGCCGCCAGCACGATGCAGCTTGCAGCCAAGGAGAGATGAAAACGAGGACTATCAGCAATGTCATGATTCGACACCTAACCAACGACGTTTCCGATCTATGTAGATTGTTTCAAAAATACACGTTATTTATGGACCAAACTGAAACTTAAACCAAAGCATTTTTTTTCGATCCTCAAATCTTTCGAAACTTTTTAGTGCTGCTATTTTAAAAGTGTTAAGAAACGGAATATAGATAGATATGCATGTAAGCGAACGAAAATGTCAAACGCCGGCTAAGCTTGGCAAAGTTATTCATTTACGAAATTATGATACTCATATGTGGAGTTTTTCATTTTTCAGAATTAGGCCGAACTAAATGAGACAGTTGTTGAACCTGTCGCCCAAACAAGTTCTAGAGACTGCCGAGCATCACTATGGAGTGTCAGTAACACAATATGGTATGATCACACAATGGTGCGTTTTACACAAGATGGTAGGACCGTGGCTACATTAAACAACAAGTCAGTACGTGAGCTGGAACAGCCAGTAGTTATACTTCGAATTCGATTTTACTATATAGATAGGTAAACCTATAGATGTAGATATAGGCAGCTTTGCCGCAAATAAAACCGAGGGATACAATTTACTTTCTAAATGGAAGAGTCAATTAGCCTTAAGTTAAAATTGTAATTACTCTTGGGGTAAGTGGATCACGATCCGCTGCACTCGAACTGGTTCTAGTATAGAACGTAAGGCCTGAGACCTTCGTAAGCTTCCTCTAAGCAAAAGAGCTACGGCGGCCCCGCTGCAATTGGTAGGACTTGTAGTCAATCGACACCTGAGTCGTAACGACTGACCCTCTGTGAGGAAGGAGCTATTCTCTTAGGGCATGCAAGACGGGCTAAAGATGCTGATGTCTTTGCTTTGCCTTGAGGGCGTGCAACACCTCGCTTCGCAAGGATCAGCGCGCGCCTAGAGATGTTCTCAGGAAATTAAAATGCTGCTAGAGCACCTACAGCAGAAGATTTCGGCGTCGATCGATCGTCGACGACACATGACTCCCCCGACCCAAGCAGTTTATTGGTTAAGTAAGACCTTTGAGGACAAGGATAGAGAGAATCTCCTGCTCTGGGTGAGAGAGGTCGGAATGGGCAAGGCGTTCGCCATGATCCAGACCGAGCAATAGCGCATGGTACTAGCTATCTCCAAGCTTGGGGGCCGAGCGCGAGAATTGACACTGACGTGCGGCATTTTGGTTGAAACGGTGTTTCCCTCCAGGACGGAGCTGAAGCAGCAGCTTTTGCGAGTGTTCTCGCTGCCCAACCAGGCATATCGCGTCCGATTGCGCTTCCTTGCCGCCCGACAGGGCAAGAAGGCATTGGTGGTATTTCTCCAAGCGTTGCGTACTCTCATTGCCAGAATGACAGCCGATCCTCTTCCCGAGGCGGTCACAGTGACCATCTTTATGGAGGGCCTCCGCCGGAATGGATGTCTTCCGTGTGCATCCGTCTTCTCTTAAAGAAGCAGTGAATGTGACATTGAATGCCGATTTCAGCTCTAAGTCGACACGACTTGATTGGAATGCACATCCTAGCAGCTCGTCGAGCGGGCTTTAGCTGATGGATTTCACCTATACTGGGCTGCTGGGGAAGAACTGGGTTGGGTTGAGCCACAATGAGGTAGAGGTCAGCAGTTTCCAGCCCCGTAGAGCTCCGTGCTTTTGAACACGAAACATGAATGCAAGTCCGGCTTGCTGGTCGTAAAAGCGACCGTGAAGAGCTTTGAGAAGCCATGAAAGATCCTGATCGACTCGGGGGCTTTGGGCTCGATGCTCCACGATGGAGGGAACTCAGCTGTATGCTGAGGCGCTGAAGGTGCGGCTGAGTGACATCGTCACTGTTCGCTTAGCGACGGAAACATGTGTCGCGGTGCCGAAGGTCCCTGTGGACCTCAGTGTCAAGTCTCTTGACTTTGATAGCGAGATGTGTTGCTTAGTCTTAGGCTTGGATTCAAGGTATAACCTCATTGTTGGTATGGCATGGCTGGAACACCATGAGCCATGGATCGACTGGAGGTCGAAGACCTTTGGCACTTCGCGCACGTTTTCTGGTGGAGCTTTTGGTGAGTCATAAACCCACCTGTGCTAGGTGGTAAAAACGCTATTGTCGCGTACACTGGACCGCGACGGTCAACGTGCTGAAGATCGGAGTATCCGGGTTGGTGAACACCGAAGGTGCATTGCACAGGAGTCTCGAGCGGCTCGCGGGCTGAACGTGGAGTGGCACGTAACCCACTGAGCGCTATTTAAGTAACAGAGAAATTGCTGCATGCCATGCGTGGTACGCTCGACCAAGAGCTGAGGTATCGAGAGTAAGGCCCTAGAGATTCACGTGGATGGCACGTCCCCCACTGAGCACAGCTCACATTTTGAAGCAGTCGCTGAGTGGCATGGTTGGGCAGAGCCGGAGGTATCGAGGGCAAGACCCTCCTGATGCACGTGGAGTGGCACGTTATCCACCGGACAAAGACTGTGGAGCTAGCAGCTCTTCATCGGACGTTGTTAATAATATCAGGGCTTCGATGGAGCGGGAAGAGGGGCTAACACTGGACGACGCTGAGGGTGTGTTCACACTGGTCTCGCCGAGGCGTACAACCTTTGTGAAGTGGCGGCAGCGACGCCGGGCGTCGACCTGGACCCAGGATGTGTCTATCGTAGGCGATAGCGCACAGCTATACACCCTCGTCAACGGTTTGGCGGGGCAAAAAGGCGGCAACATCATCCTCGAGGTTATTCCTGCAGAAAATGCTCTACTTGAGCTGGACGAGATGTCCTTCGACGAGTTCGACGGTGCCTTGAAAGCAGGCGACTTGGCCGAAGTGGTCATTATACGACCGGACGAGCAGATTAACTCGTCGTCGCTTCTTGATGAAGCTGTCCTGGAAGACATTACGAGGGTGCTGATAGGACGATGTGGAACGTCGATCCTGAAGGATACCTCGAATCCATAATATTCTTGTGTGAAGGAATGTCAATACGTCGTCTCTAAAGACCCGACGTCGATTCTACCTCAGGACCGAGGTGTGCGTCATGATATTGACCTGGTCCCGGGAACCAAATACTGCGTAGCACGCCAATAGCCCCTGCCCAAGGAGAAGTGTGACGTCATTGACGCCTTATTCCATGTGAAGCACGACGCAGGAATGGTGCGTAACAGCAAGTTTTCCCATTCGACACCCACGATTTGTGTTCGGAAACCGAACGGCAAGTGGCGTAACGTTCACGCTTACAATTAGCTTAACGCTGCCGCCATTTCTTCACAGACGCCGATTTCTAGAGAGGCTGTTCTCGAGAAAACATGGTGGGATGTCCAAAGGACAGCGCATTCCGAATGGTCGATGTGTAGTACCAATTGCCCTTGAGAGCAAGTGATAAATCGTTTACAGCGGTAAGTACTCCGAGCGGAATGATCTGGAAGTGGCTTATGATGCCCTAAGGGCTGTCAAATGCACCAGCAACATTTAATCGTCTTGTTACTGAGTTGATCAGGCCCCACTGGGCGTATGCACCGACATACTTTGACGACATATTCGTCCACAGTCGTTCGGAGCACGGATGGACGGATAAAGAGAATCACATCATCCATTTAACAGCGGTGATCGAGTGTATGCGCACGATAGTCAGCATGACAGTATTTTTTGGCGGATGCGTTGGCGCGCAAATCAGATTATGAGCTTGCTCATGTCACGACGTGGCTAATAGGACTTACACCTTCCCTAAACTGATAAGCGCTAGAAACAGAATTCAGGAATATACAGCCATGCACGATATATAATTCATGCTAAGCATACGTGAAATAATGTGGTTCACACAGCATGTGGAATAAAATTGATCCCACCCTCCCCCACTCAAAAGTGGGGTTACCTGTAACAAGGCTACACATACCTTGGTAACAGGTGTGTGTGTCACACCAGATGGGCATGGTGTGACCACACCCAAACAAGAATAACGTACGGGGCTGGATAGTGAGTAGTTATACATGTATTTAGATTTTACTATACAAACTTAGTAAAATCTATGCATTTAAAATTAAGCGGCTTTGCCGCAGATAAAAATAAATAAAAATCAGTTTTAAAGTTAGACGGAAGTGTTTATCAGCCTTGTGTTAAGGTTGTTATCACTCTTGGAGTAAGCGGATTGCGATTTGCTAAACTCCTACTTGTTCTAAGTATAGAACGAAAGGTCGGTCACCTAAATTACGCTTCTTCTAAGCGCAAAGCTACGGCAGTTCCGCTGCACTTGGTAGCGCTTGTAGTCAATTCACACCTGAGTAGATTAGACTGATTCTCTGTGAGGATGGAGCAATTTCCCTCTTTGCCTCAGGGTATGAAGGACGGGCTTAAAAAGCTTATGACCTTGCTTGGCCCTGAGGGCGTGCAACACCTCGCTGCGCAAGGCCCCGAGGAAATCAGGGCGCCTCTAGAGGCATTTGCGAAAACGCGCTGCTTA